TGTGTGTGTGTGTGTGTGTGTGTGTGTGTGTGTGTGTGTGTACTCACAATGAGACCCGTTCTTTTTCGAGCACACAGGACTCCACACATCCCACAGAGCAGAAACTGGGGAAAAAAGAAAAAAAAAAACAAACCCAGCTGGGTTAATTAACAGCACTGAAACTCCCAGAGAGTTTGTCTTTAAGATGATTAATGTTCAGAAAAACATGATAACATTATAGTCCTCTTTTACCTACACGTGTTTTGTCTCTAAAAATAAAGACTCACAGCACATCTGAGTCATTTTGTTGTGACTTTAAGTAAATCTGAGCGAACTGGAACAGAGGGGAGACAACTCTGCAAAACCACGAAACGCCAGTGAGCTGCAGTTTGTCCTGAAACAAGAATATTATCGCTAATTTCTTCTTCTTGTTTTGTAATGTCTACTTTAAAGTCTAATATTTAACTTTAACATGGATTAATTCCTTTATGCAATTCTTCAGGTTTCAGCTTTGTGTTAATCAGCTTCATCAGATTGATGTTTGAAAATATTTTAAACATCTTAAATTTCCCTTATCCAATTCCTGTCATTTCTTTGGTTATTAAAGCTAAGATTCTTTAACTTATAGCTTTAAAAAGGGGATGTTAGTCCAACATGCTTCTTCTTCTTCCAAGCATTTTGTAGGAAAATACACAAACAAAATGTGAAATAAGAAAAACTTCACTATTCTCTTGTTTTTCTTCTCTGCACAGATAAAAGCTACCAATAAAATAAATGATGTACAGTTTGCAGTCTATGGAAATAAATTAATAATAAATGATAAATAATAATAAATAGCTTGGTATTAAACAAAAAGCCACTGGACATTAAATCAAATATTTAAGCTCTGATATGGATGTGACGCACAATCCTGACAAACAACATTTTTTTGCATTTTTCTTTCTCGCTCCTCACTAAAGCAAGTTTTCCTTTGTTGCTGGCTCAAAAGCAAACTCCTCATCAAAAGAAGTTACAACAACGACAAAAATGAACATCTGAAATGAAACTTTTCGTTGCAGCGCAGCTAAGTCGTGTCACTGTAACAAGAGGAGAGACACCCACAGCAGAAAGGCTTTGATCCTCTGAAGCACAGAGGAGGAACTCAAGCATGAATTAATRAAACTGATCGTTGGGCTGAGTTCAGAAGGCTAAATGGATGTGAGTCTCTGATATTATAGATAGAACTGTGCTTATTTTAGCACAGATGAAATTAAAGGAACAAAGTCAACTATATGATTGATCCAAAAACTAGTAAAATCCAGTGATTTGTCTTTGTTTTTGTCTGAATGAAATAAAAACTTTTTTTTCTGTTTATCAAATGAAAGAAGTGACTCAGATACCAAAGCTTGGACACAAACAGACCAATAAAAGTTTCCAATAATTGCCCATTAGAAAACTAATAAAGTTCCTTATGGATTTTTCCATGAGACCAAGTCTGGCTCCAGACTTGCTACATTTTTAATACTTTCTGGTCAAAAACAAAAAGAGTTCTTTTGTTTATAAGCCCCCCTGGTCTGACACCATGCACCCCAGCCTCCCCTCAGCCTCAGCACGTACACAGAGTCCACTCCACACCGGAGACGCGTCGCCCTGCTGGGGCGGGTGCTCCCCGCGGACGCAGCTGATGCCCACCGCTCCCAGGACGATGCTCGCCACCCCCAGGCCCACCTCCAGCACGGAGAGCAGGAGCAGGCTCCACAGGATCTTGCGGCTGGAGCACATCCCGCCCCGGGCATCTCTCCAGCAGGAGGACGCGAGCAGATGCAGCCAGAGGGGAGGGGGGGATCCCCGCCTGTCGGGTCTCCGAGGGCGGTGTGGCTCGGTTGCTGTGGTGGGGAAAACAAGGATTTATCCCGAAAAGTAGGTCCGCGCGGAGGAGAAAGCCATGAAAGGAGGTTAAGATGTTATAAAGCAGGAAGAAAAACGGTTGTTAAAGTGAATAAAGGTGCGACGCTGTAGTTCCTCCGCGCGCTCAYTTCAGTCTGTGGCGCGTGGAGCTGTCCAAGTACTTAAAGCGCCACTGCGCACGCGCGCGCGCACACACACAGGTATCATCAAGCAGTCAACACCAAAACCCAGGGCCTTAACCAGGATTTTAGGGGCCTAAGGGGCATACTGATGAAAAAATAATCCAACACAATGGATTCAGTTATTAATAAATTATTATTATTATTATTATTATTATTATTGGATGAAAAATGAGAAATTCTACATTTGGAAGCAAAAACTGACTTTGCTTTTCAATTATACTTGTTTCATACTTATGGAAACCATAAAACAAAGGTTTTTAATTTTCTTAATGTCTGTTGTTCAATATTTCATATGAATAAAAAAGAGATAATTTTACTCTTTTTATGCTTTTGTTTGGGTTTAGATTATAAATAGTCTTTTTCAAAGGAAAAAACTCACTTTAATATATTCAGCTTAAAAAATAACTTGAAAACTTGTTTATGTAATTTTTTGTGATTAAAAAAGACTTTACATTGTGATTAGAGCTTTTAGAGTCTGATGAACCAGGGAGAAAACAGTTTACAACACTTCCTCCCAAGTTTTGACTTCAACAAAGTTAAATGAACTTCAACATTTGAGGATTAAAATCATGAAATTGGATGTTTCCATRTGATACACCTCCGGATCATCTGTTGTTTTCCTTTGATGCAACACAAACCAGTTGCAGGGAAACGTGGTTATTTGCACGTTAACTGTGCACTTTATAATCAGCTGATGACATTTATTATTAATAACAACCTAATGGACCATTAGAGGTGACATCATTCTAGCTACTGAAGCAGCATAATGCCTACAGGATAAAGGAAAAAAAAGAGAACATATTTTAATATTTCCGTWTAGGAATGATGCAGATTGTTTGAACTACAAAATTTCAAACAAAAGTTGCACAGAAACCTTTTTTCAGAAATACATTTTTCTTATATTAGTAAAATCAAACCATATAAAAGCACGATGATTGAAAAATGACAAACCTGCAGTGATAAATTCAGTGTTTTTGTTTGTGTCTCAAAGTGTTTCAACTAATCAATGACTGATCGACACGACAGGATTTGAAAGCTCTTACGGTAAGCTCTGTTTATATTAACACAAACGTGATCCATTACAACATAATCAATGTTAACATTCCTGGCTGGTTTTATCAGTGTCCGTGTTTCTTTTTAATCCATTTTTAAAATATAAATCTTTTAAGTTTATAATTGTAGATTTAATAATGTGTGTTTTAGTCTTAGTGTATTTCTTGATGACATCACTCACTTCTCCCCAGTCAGCCTGCCAATGTGCACTCACACCTGCATCCTGTCTGTCACAGCTGCAGCCACTTCTCAATCACYCCCAGCCTGTCTATCTGCATTCTCGCAGCATCATGTGTTCGTTCGTCACTTGTCGGGTTGCCCCAGTGTTCTCCAAGCTTTTTGTGTTTAAGTGKTTTTGCGGCCACGCCAGCGTGTTGTTTTCCTTTATTAATTAAAATTTCAGCACCGTTTCGCTAATCTGCATTCCTGGGTCCAAACCTCCTGTGTTTTATAGTCTGTRATGTTACATTCTGCTGAGGAGAGCCACTGAGCATTAAACACCTCCCTGTTTACATTCATTCTGACATTTTAGAGTTAGACACACATCAAGAGGCTGTAGTTCTTTAAAAAAAAAAAACATAAAATGATTCCTTCATGGACAAAACGATCAATCTGATTTTCACAGTTGATGTGCCTGCTTTTTTGCTATCTAAAAGCTGGTTTGGTATTTATTGCACAAAAATGACTCAGTTTTGCAGATACTGCATTAAAATCTTTGTAGCTGCGGCATAAACCCAACACATTCAAGTGCTAAAAAACTGAGCAACGTTGTACATTTTTTTCTAAACTGACCTAAAATGCTACAAAAAGCCAATTCTTCAAAATAAAATGATTATAGTTTTACAATCTGGACTAAATAGCAACCGTTATCACTCCTTAAAGAAATGTTGGACTTAATTCTTTAGGTCTGTGAGGTTTAAGGCAGGAAAACGCAGGGCGCAGGCAAAAATCTCCCAAAAAATGCAAAAAGGCTTCATTAAACAAAAAGGCTGTCAAGGCAGCTCAAAAATACTCACAAAACTGATCTTCTCAGGAGAACAAGAACACGAGGGGAAACTAGGAAACACCACACTGGCTGGGGTTGACAGCACAATGATCAGAGCAGTGAAGACAAGRYACAGAAYATAAAGRCGAGTAAATTGATTGGAAACACCTGCGGAGGAAACATAAGGATCAGGTGTGCCTGGGCGGGAACACAGAGGCAGGTATACACAGGGAACCACAGAAACACTAGAAAACAAAAACAAGACAAGGTCACATGTGTCAAAATCAAGGCTCGCGGGCCAAAACATGGCCCACCGCTTCATTTTATGATGAGCTTAAAAAATGTAATGTCTTAAAAGAAGCGTATGCTGCTTTAAAGCCAACATTGACCATAAACTACATCTCCCATGATGCATGCCGATTATTTTACCTGCAATATGACGACATCCCAACACTTGCTGAATTTTTGCTGGCTTCTTTTTGCTGCAGCCCAGTTGTACTGGGAAGTGGGAATATTTAAAATGGAATGCCCCTCTGGTGGGAATTCCCTGTCAGAAAGTGGAAAACTTCAGAATTCAAGATGGCGACTACTTMTTACAACATTGGGTAAACCACTCTTACTTTTAGTAGTATTTTTGTATTATCTRTTTATTTTACATGTACTTTTCAGCRTTYATAAGAGGATGTGTTAAAACTCTGTTTCAGTGCAGGAAATACAACATAGAGCTCAGTTATTGTTTGTTGACGGTGCTTGTAGTAAAGAGATGAAGAGTGTGACATTTTGTGTTGATTAAACAAAGTTTAACTGACCCTTTGAGGGCCATCGTAATGCTTATGTGGCCCTCAATTAAAAATGAGTTTGACACCCCTGCTTTAGGCAACTTTCTAAATGTTAAAATTTTATGTAATCCCTTCTGTTGTTGTATATTTTAAAGATATATCTATGGGTTGGTTGAGGTTGAAATACAGGTAAAACAGCATCATGTATGAATTGGTTTTCAGGTTGGGACGTTTCAGGCGAGTGATTTACTCACAGCCCTTTTCACCGGTACTRAAAAGACTGAAAAGTAATAGTACTGGTGTTTGGATATGAATATATTTACAGGATGTTTTAGCAGGGTGATGGAAGACAAACACTGATCTGATATCAGCTTCTAAAAAATGGAGTTGCTTTGAAATTTAATCAGGGTCAAACATCAAAGAACAGTTGCAATAGGTCATTTTGGCGCTCCCTCTGCGTGGTTTTGGCTTTCTGTCCTGTTTGTGAAGTGGTTATGTAAGAGTGTTTAACAGCAGCAGCTTCAGTAGAAATGTGTTGCTGGCTGGGAGGAGATGCTGTCTTTGGATGCTTGCCTGCTGAAGCTTCAGATCAATGTTTTTCAATCTCTTTTCTCTTTCAGTGCTCTGATCCCGCCTTCTTGTCCTACTGTACTCTTACTCAAAACAATGTTTAACTGTTATTACCATTAGGGCTGTTACTAAGTAGTAAGAGTTAGTTATTCACAATTTTAGGAGGATTCAATCATCCTCAAAAGAGCAGAACTTATCTCAGATTTTTGAAATGCCCGGAGACAGGTGACAGAAAATAGCAGCTTCCTAATTAAACAGGACAGGTAGTGACAGCCGGGAGTCAGGATGTAAAGAACTCCTGGACAGTAGTTGGCAGCGTGCAGCATCGCCTTTAGAGGTGTTGCAGACTTGGCAGCCATGTGGAGAAGGACTAACATCCTGTCTCCTGCTGCAGGAGCACCTGTCTCTGCTTTCACTGTGCTCCGTCAGCAGCAGCTGCAGTCCTTCAGCTACACCGACCCAAAACTATCACTGTCAGTTTTTAATCAGAATGGTACATATATATATAT